GAATGTTACCAGTTAGCAACATATCATTGATATGCAGAAGAAACAGCGTTGGTGATAGCACACAGCCTTGTGGAACACCAGCGTTAATAGGCTTGTAGTCAGAACATGCACCGTCTACAACGACCTTGATGCTCCGATCTGCAAGGAAGCTGGTGATCCAATTGCACAATTTCTCGGGAAGCCCATAGGAAGGGAGCTTCGAAAGAAGCGCTTTGTGCCAAACCCGATCGAAGGCCTTCGCAATGTCCAGACTAACGGCCAACGCCTCCCCCTTGGACTCTACTGCCTCCGCCCATCTATGGGTCAGGTAGACTAGAAGATCACCAGCTGATCGACCCCGACGAAAACCGTATTGGCGGTCACTGATCAGCTGGTGATCCTCAAGGTACCGGATGAGCTGGCAGTTAATAATGGATTCCATTATTTTGGAGAACAAGGAGGTGATCGCGATAGGCCTATAGTTGGACGGGTCTGAGCGGTCGCCTTTTTTAGGGATCGGGTGGACAAAAGCTGTCTTCCATGAGTTCGGGACAACGCCATGGGAGTAGGAGTACCGGAAAAGACGCGTTAGAACCGGTGCCAACTCCGGAGCACACGTCCTCAGCACAATTGGGGGGATTCCGTCAGGCCCACTCGACTTGTGGATGTCAATGGAGAGGAGTGCTCTGCGAACCGAGCGCTGTGAGAATAGCACATCCGGCATAGAGCACTCACACCGCGGGATGGTCGGCGGTGTGTTCCCCCCGTCATCAACAGTCGAGTTGGACGCAAAAAGGGAGCCTAAAAGGTCGGCCTTCTCTTTTGCGTCGTGGGCCAGTGAGTCGTCCTCCCTGTGCAGAGATGGTAGTGATGGCTTACAGAAATTCCCTTGGACAGCCTTGGCGAGAGACCAGAATGCACGGGTTCCCGAAGGAAGGCGAACTAGTTTCTCGCCAATTCTGCCTATGTGCTCAGACTTTGCCTTGGCAATAACTCTTTTGAAGGACCTGGAGGCGAAGTTATACTTCTTTTTAAGTGTGCTGGTGTTTACATCCCGAGTCACCGAAGCCGCAACCCAGGCTTGATAACACTCCTGCTTTCTGCGCAATGCAGTCTTACAGGAGCGACCAAACCAAGGCTGAGATCTGCCTCCGATGGGTACCACAGATGATGGAATAAATAGTTCCATTCCCTGTAGCACCACATCAGTGACAGAGTCAGCAACAGCGCTGGGATCATCCGGCGAGAAGCAAACACGCCCCCATGGGTAGGATGCAAAGAAAGACCGCATTCCGTCCCAATCCGCCGACCTATAATGCCAAACACGGCGGCAACCTGCAGAACGCAACCGCGAAGGGAGCGTGAGTGGCACCATACTCCGGATCAGACAATGGTCCGAAGAGCCGAGAGGGGCATCGACGGAAACCTGATATCCGTCCGGATGAGAGGTCAGCAGAAGGTCCAACAGGGAAGGTGTATGATCCTCCACATCTGGAATCCGTGTAGGCGAAGTAACCAGTTGTGTCAGACCATATGCCAAAGCAAAGTCATAAACAGATCTCCCCGCATGATCGGTTAAACGTGAACCGAGCCATTCGGCATGGTGGGCGTTAAAATCGCCAAGGATCACGATCTCTGCGGATGGGACCTGTTGTAGCAAGGAATCTGTAGCCATTTGGACGTGGTCGATGAGTCGGTCTGTTTCGGCATTACCGCTATGGGACCTATAGAGGCACCCGTAGACGCGCGGATGGTCGTCGCTGTCTACGCGTAGCCAAAGGATGGACAGGTCCGAACCTTCAAGACTGCCGAGGCGTCGAGAACAGATGTCCTCTCTGACATACACGCAAACTCCAGCCCGAGGCACAAAGGAGTGCTCCAATTTGTACCCCGGGCAGGAGAGATACGAAATATCAGCCGGAGAGGAAACCTGCGTCTCGGTCAGAAAGAGCAAGGCCGGCTTCGCCGTCTCGAGATGGTAGTGGACGGCGTTTAGGTTAGAGTGAAGTCCCCTGATGTTGCAGAAATTCACGGATAGCGTGGCAGGGGTCGCCTTGGTATTGTTGCTCAGTTTGCCCCAAGCAGTTTTGTTTTTGAGCGGAATTTTGCCCCCCCCAGAATACGCGGGGCAGCCTGAGCACCCACGCTCAGGATTGGAATAACATGGTCGTGGATGCTCAGCGAGGGATTCTCCAGGGGTACTGGTACCCTCCTGGGGTAGTCTACTTTGTAATTCCGCTACCATGTTGATGGGGGGGGGGGGGGGGGGGGAATTGGGCCTCCGGCCACCTGCACTCACCAGACGAAACGCAGAAGCAGAGCCTCTACTTCACGCCGGTATTCTGTGAGGTCGTGGTACCAACCCGGCTCGAGCCTGCCCATACGTGCAACAGCAAAAAACTGCTGCGGGGCTCTACCACCGTATTAACCCGAATTTTTCGCTGCCGAGGCCTCGCGTGTTGGTCCATAAAATTCTTCTTTTTTTTTCTATTTTGTGTTTGCTGCATGAACATTATGCAATGACATATTGCGTAGTTTTTATGTTGTAAGTTGTAAGTAAAACGCGGGTAATCCATCATAATCCCGATGTAATAATCCCTATGTATTAAATAAAATAAAAGAACGCGTGATGACTATGCCAGGCGCGCTTTGTCGAATCTACACTTAGATACTAGAATATGAAAATGTGCTACCGACCAACGATTACAACTTGCAAGGCGCAAGTTTGGTTTCAAATAGGATACTGTTCCCATCTGAACTTATTCAACGAAGATTCGTCGACGTCCGTGATTTTTTTGATCGGTTTCTACCATTTTTACATTAAATTTAAATTTCGTTTGCCTCCCTTTTTATGTAAATAAACGCATTTATTCATACTATGTATCAATTTATTATCTATGAACATGTCCAATTCTCGTTCAAGAGAGGCCTGACCTTGGCTTGGGAAGTAACGATAATCGACCTAGGCGGCTAGAAAGTTAAGTCATAAGTGATATTAAAATACTTTGTACAATGTACACAATGGTTTTACTCAATAAATTTAAATTCTCATTAATTATTGTAAATTTATGTATTAAAAAAACAGCTATAGACGGATATTTAACTGTGCTTGCGGTCACATGTGGATAGTGATATATATATATTTTCCGCGAAGCCCAATGCGTGTCATCATCTAGAGCTTTGTCACGACTTAATTCCATGTGGGTTATAGCGAAACAGTGGTTTATAATAAGTCAAGAAATCTTTGAAGCGGGCGAGAAATTGTAGTTATGAAAAAATTTACGAAATCGTTGTAGTTGTTTTAAAATTGTAACTATTAAGCCACGTGTACACTGACTAATGAACTATTCAGAACTACTGATTAACCTACTTTGTATGTATAGTAAAAAAAGGGTTGTGATAAATACTCCTAGAATTATATTATCACTTGTGGTCAAGTGATATTATATGTATGTTTATGAATTATGAATCTACCAATGTGACTCCCAAATTATCAATATATTTGAGATTACTTGATTAAATACTCCTTTTATTTAAATAACTAATTAAAATAACCATTTAATTAGCCAATTTTTTACTTAATATTATTAAAAATAAATCGTATTTTCGTCGTAATATAATAGTAGTAATATAACAGTTGTAGAGCCACGCGGCAGCTTTTGCTGTTACACGGATGGGCCAGCTCGAACCGGGGTGGTACCACGACCTTACAGAATACCAGCGTGAAGTAGAGGTTTACCTCTGCGTTTCGCTTGGTGAGTGCAGGTGGCCGGCCCTTTTTACTGGAAATGAGGCATTCCATCTTAGTCCTCACGGGTGGCAACGCATCTGCATTTTGATTCGCAAACGAGGACAGATGTAGATGTCTATAGGCCGCAGCAACCACTTACCATCAGGTGGACTGTGTGCTCGTTTGTCACCCTTATCCTATAAAAAAAAAAACGTATTCAACGGGGTTTTCCGATATTTGAAGCATTTTAATATGTTTTACAATTAAATCTTTAGGTACCGTGTCCTTATCCTCACGGATTGGTTTACGGCACTTTTTATCTTTATACCGATAGTTTAAAAAAATATTGTATATAACGTACTTAATAGTACAGTATGAATTACTGACTGCAGAATATGAATATTTCATTTTCCGCAGTCTCAGAGCAAGACCGATTTGTTCCCTCTCCTTCCTTACTTCTTATCTCTGGCTCTTTCTGTAAATCATAAATCTGTATTTCTTCCTCTCTATTACCCTTATTTGTTAGTATCTCTTTATCTGTCTCACCAATCTGAATTTCATCTTGCTCTTTATCATTCTTAATCTCTTCCTTTATCGCATTAATTTTCATCAACTCACCTTCTCTTTTATCTTCTTGCATGTACTCTTTCTCTAACTCTTCAATAAATAGGTACTTGCCTGTAATTCTTGCTGGTCTCCAGACTCTTGTGACTTATCATTTCACAAATAGTCCCACACGAGAAATATTCTTTATAATCAGTCTTTTTTAGTAGTATTTTTCTGTTTTAATGTCTGGTTCACAATAGTGGGTAGCGTCACTATCACTGAGTATATCGCTGACTACATCTTGTAAGTAAGAATCGCTGTGTTCACTCTTTTCTCTACTTTCATAGATTGTTGTGCTGCTCAAAGGCCTGTAAATTTTAATAGGCTTAACGTTTTCTTTACCGGCATAATTTTTTAGTACGTTTTTATTAATATTGTTTTGTATTATAAATTCTTTGTCTTCATCGCTATTCAGACAGCTGTAAACATTAATATTGACACTGTTATGTTTTTTTGGGCAAATGTCAAATTTTTGTCTATTTCTTGTAATATATACTATTATCGACGTTGTGCTGTGGGCATGCTACAGAGAGAACACAAGTTCTATTTTCATACGTATGTACGTCGTAAGTGTCTATAGGCCGCAATTGCCCATATTTTTTATACGACGTTAGACATAAGTAAATGAAGATACGAAGACACACCTCGTTTAAAAAAAATTAAGAACCTTCTTTCTTTTTTCTAGTTCCACTTGCCGGTAACGTAAAAGGACGACAGGGTAAGCGACGGCCGGCTGTAGGACTTGAGGCCGGGGCACCGGTCGGTAAGAAGGGGCGTGGCAGTGACCTGAATGCCCTCAAACTGCCGTCGCATGGCTACCCTACTGAGCACCCTTTCAACAAGGACGGCTATAGGTACATCCTTGCAGAGCCAGATCCTAATGCACCTTTTAGACAGGTTGGTAGATTGGAGAATTTATGATAGACTTGTTGAAAACGCTCTTGTAGAGTGCGCGCTTTTACTTGTTAGTAATTTCACTTGTTTTATTTTTATTTTTGTAGTTATTTTGTTATTTTGTACGACAATAAATCTTAATTGTATGTTAATACATCGCAAATGTACTAACATAAAAGCATTAAGCTATGAGTAAGCAAGCCACAGATCATCGTCCAGATTCTCAAACGAATAATTTCAAACTATGCACACCTAAGACGTTACACAGATGTACACACACTATAATCTAAGACTTGAATCATTTAACAACTTTACAAAGACGGATTATTATTCATAGAGACGATTACTGACCGATCCTTTTTACAGTGCGCAACGTCAAGTCTTACAGAGAGGAGCTCGCGAAAAATAGTAAAAATGACGGTTTGCGTTGTGAAATATTGTCACAACAATCATCATAAACATAAAAAAGTGATGGTATAACATTTTACAGATAAGTTCATATATTTAATTCATTATAAGTAAAACTAAAAAAATATTTACCTAAGCTATCATAACACAAATGTTGCTAGATGTGGGGGAAAAAAATCACAATTTTCTTTTAAAAATATTTATTTTCTATTTGTGTTTAAATCGCAACGTTTAAAAAAATTATGTAAGGTCTCATCATAACTTATAAAACGAAGTCAAACTCGGCACACCTACTTCTCATCGTCGAGGAGTTTTAGTAGCAGTCATCAAAGTGCATCTTCAGATCACTCTATCAAATCCGGAGGTAAAGTCTTATCATAACTAACAAAACGAGCCCAAACTCGGCACACCTATTACTGCTCGACGAGGAATTCCAGTCGCAGTCATCGAAGTATACTCTCAGGTCACTATCAAGTCCGAAGGTAAGGTCTCATCATAACTAACAAAACGAGCCCAAATTCGGCACACCTCTTACTACCCCTCGAGGAGTTTCAGTCGCAGTCATCGAAGTACACCTTCAGGTCACTCTATCAAGTCTAGAGGTAAGGTTTCATCGTAACTAACAAAACGAGTCCAAACTAGGCACACCTAGTACTACTGATTGAGAAGTTCCAGTAGCATTCATCGAAGTACCTTACTTGAAGGTGAAGTAGACCTGAAGGTATACTATATATACCTATTCATTCCGGAGGTAAGGTCTTATCATAACTAACAAAACGACGACAAACTCGGCACACCTAGTTCTACTCTTCGAGGAGTTCCAGTAGCATTCACCGAAGTACACCTTCAGGTCACTCCATCAAGTCCGTAGTCAGAGGCGAATTAAATGTCGAAAGTGCCCTAGGCTAGCCTGGCAACCTCATCGGCGCCATTCTAGCGACCATATTAAATAAAACTTCTCATTTTGCAAATGAACTGTATTATAACTTATATATAACTTATATAGTTTGATAATTGCAAAATAATTAGGATACGAATACCATTATCAAGGGGGCATAAAAGAAAAATGTGATGAGAGAGTAAGAGCAATTTAGGAGTAATTAAATACGACGATTTTTTTCATTTAAAACCTTTCATTTCATTTCTATAGTCCGTAATGGGGGCTACACACGATCACTTTTAACTGTCAGTTTTGACTGACCAGTTTTAACTGACAGTGAAAACTGAGTGTGTGTACGATGAAAACTGTCAGTTTTTTTATTATCAGTTAAAACTATTAAAGTTCACTGCTGCATATGGGCTTCTCCCGTTGAACGAAGGATTCGCCTTAATGTTATTTCCCTCCTAAAGAAAACGAAAAAGGATCAATGCCCATATAATCTCGCTCGCAAAAGCCAAGGCACTTTCACGTCACCTTTAGTGAGGATTTACTTTGTAGTCACCATCACTTAAAATACAAATACTTACAATTAATTACAAAAAACAAAAAGAAAATAAAAAATAATAATCAAACCCACCCACTACAATTATAATACGCAGGTCACTCAAAGTTTTGAGATATACAAAAAGTATTCTAGATACTACTCGTATTAAAAAAATATTTTACATCTTTTCAAAATATTTTCCATCATGCTCTGTACAAAGTTCCATTCGCCGAAACCCAACTCTGAAAACACTTTTGCCAGTCTTGATCTGACAGGTCGGAATCGCTTCTTCGTAGGCAGCCACGGCTTCTTGGGCGCTTGTAAAAAACTTGCTTGAAAAGCTTTGGGTAATGCAACTGTAGTATACCATTCAGAGTTGACTGGCCTACAATTTTCCAGCATTGGCGTCGACAAATGTCCGCTCTGCGAAAAAAAAAACTAGCCACTATTTTTTTGGCGACGCTGCGAGGTCATTGCAATTTTGTCGGTAACTGTCCTTCTGAGTAGACCCATACCGATGATTGCCTTTTATTTTCCGGATCATATTGATAGATCCATGTCTCGTCATCAGGAACGATGTCTGAAACACGCCTAGATGCCCTGTTTTCAAAACGTACACGCATTTCATGGCACCAATCCACACGAGTCTATTTTTCGCTTTCGGAGAGCAAACGAGGGCCATTCCATCGACAGCAAAGCTTCCTCACTCCAAGATGTTGATGTAGGATGGTATGAATGCTTCCCGAACTAATGCCTACAATCTTTTCGATGTCCGTATATGTAATTCGTGAGTCTTCTCGCACCAACATGTCAGTAGTCCATACATTTTCTGCCGTTACTGCTGTTTGCCCCAGTTCTTGGGTCACCTTTAAGATTAATTTTACCACTTTTGAATTCAGCAAACCACCTAAAAATTATTGCGCGTGATGAAGCTGAGTTCCCTAATGCTGTTTGAACCGTTGTAAACTTATTTGTTCGGTTAAACCAAATTTAAAATCATAATATTATATCATAGCGCGCAAAATGTTCACGGTTCAGATCCATCGTATTAAATCAAAAGCGCGGCAAGCGTTGCAGGAAAATTAATAGAACTTTGTTTTTTTTTTAATATTGAGCAATTGGCTTATGGAGTTCTATTTGTATATAAATTTGCTTTTTAGAAACATATAGCACGGGTGCGTGCCATTTTTAAATTTCGAGCATCTCAAAACTTATTGAGTGACCAACGTACAAAAAATATAATAATAATAATAATAATCTATATAAATAAAATGATAGAGGTTTGCAGCTTTGCGCGCATCACGGAAAAACTACGGAATAGATTTCAATTAGGTTTTCTGTTTTATTTCTTATACAATTGGCCCTTATCTAAAATTATTGCGATATCTTCATTTAATTTAAAGTTCTTAAAGTTTTAAGAAACTACGATTTTTGTACGGGGGTTTTGACACGGTCAACTGTACGTCGCTTGCTCTTGCGTTACTAACGGAGCAACGAATAATATTGTTTACAAAGAAATTTTGTATGCGATCTTTTTAATGTTTTTTTCCTTCGCACATACGAAAAGTTTGTTAATATATCAAACAACTCGGGCGAAGTCGCGGGTATTAGCTAGTATACACTATAATAATAAAAATAATAAAATCTAAAGACCAAGATACCACAGACCGAAGCAAATACAGCCCCAAAACGTGTGTACATACTTTTCGCACCTTTGACGCTGTTGTCTGTCACCAGTCTTGGTATTTTACGTTTACAATATACACAGTTTTTGACAAACGAGCACACAGTCCACCTGATAGTAAGTGATCAATTAAGAACCAAAATGCAGATGCGTTGTCACCCCTGAGGACTGAGATGGAATGTCTCGTTTCTCTACACTTACCACATGAAACACAGCAGCATTAAGCTGCTATTTTACGCTCGTATTCTGATCTTACTCCGGCGAGCCGACCCATTCGTGTTATAACCATAATATAGTTGCAGCATGGCCGTACCACGTACAGAACGTCTGAAGTAAACGAAATGCCATCAAAAACATAACTTGTAAAAAAAAACCAAGTCTCGCAACTCAGTTCTTCTACCGTAAATAGTTGTGTGATCCATGTAATACCAGGCCTCTGTCACTCTTGCTACCTGCGTGAAATAATTACCTACAATCGCGAGCTGCCCCAGGGGTAGATCGCAGTCGGGGCTAGCGCGCTCTATACGATTGAATGTTAAAGTTTTTTTAACGCTGTTTACGTAAATAATTTTTTGTTAATAGGTACTTGTTGAAATACTCGTGGAAATAGGTTTTTTTTAGTGTTTAGTATATTTAATTGTAGAATAAAATAGTTTTAATGTAATTTAAGAATAAAAACGACGTTCCTACTATAATTATTGCGGGGATGGATGCTTAATGACCAATTAAAAGGATTCAGATATATCATTTTTTGAGTTATCGAAGGATAATGAAAGGTAAATTTATTTAATTTTTTGTTAGATAGGTACTCATAACGAAAAAAATTTAATAATAATTTAACTACAGAAGTAATACCTAAGCACTTTATTACAAAACTTTTTGAAATTTACTTCACTACCCAAATACCGACTTACATACCTATACTCGTCTTTATAATTTTAAGTTATAATAACACAAAATACTGAAATTAAAACTTTGTTTACAAGATTTTCAACTAAGTAGATTACGATCATATTTCTGTTAGGAATCGTATGTCGGGTTTATTTGTTGTTTACGCTATCTACCTATACGAACCAAGCATCGCGATTCCCGACGAATGGCCTTGCAAGTTGCATGCAACTCACGTAGTAGATAATATGGTCGATTATAGTCAGCATAGGTACTTTACCTAAGTAACTTACCATTTCAAAATGTATTTTTTTACTCTTTATTAACAGCCCTTAGCAACTACGGAAAGTCCGATGTGACATAGTAAGGAGAAAAGATGCAAAGTAATACGGACACTCGCGCGCAGCGATAAAGTTTTATTTAGCTTGCGTGCGCGATCTATCTGATTAATAATAACTATGTAGGCTATTAAAACGTCGGCAAGCAGTCAACATCAAAAGAGTGCAACTTCTGTACGTAGAACTATTAATTAATCTGTGGTAATACCAAGTCGGTTAATTTATTCAGTCCTTACTTAAGGGTCCTTCTGTCTTAAGTTATTACGTAATTAGCTAACCTAACAAAATCTTATTGTGACCATATCAATATTAAAAATCTTTTATGTCTTCAATAAATAGATTGACTTGGCCATCGCATGAAAACGCAATGTATCTCACAAGTAATACATATTATATTAAATTAGATTGTTTAGTGCTATGAAATGTAAAATTCTTTGTACACGCATTTACATTTTGTTTAAGTAATGATTCGGCGACGGCAGGATAAGAATTCAGTGACTTGTGGTTAAGATCGGAATATCAGTAAAATATTTCTCAAAAACCATTGCAGCGCCCTGATCTGATTCAGTAAATTTGTTGTTAGAACTTAACTGGTTTCGCTATTAATTATACTCCACGTTGTTTTAATTTTATTAGATGCCGTTTTAATTTTGTTGCTCAACTGCAAAGACTTGGCTGTGGAGCACACTTTTAAATATTTTGAATATTTTTTACATACATATTCCCTAAATTCGACGCTAGAATTATATGACCTTTCATGGTAAAGTTCATATAGCCTTTGTGTGCTCTTATGATTCATTGAATGCCTTCCGACCATTCAAAGAGAACGTTTTAGAAGTAAAAATATTATCAAATTCATTGCAAATAAACTTAAATAATGTTTCATACAAAAAATTAGGATTATTTTGGTATGAAATTGATGGAAGTTTCTTTACTATGTCATTTCTAAACTTCTTCAAGCGACGTGCATTTACCGGAACAAACACAATTTTCTCATCTACTTGCTTTTTGTGAACATAAGGTAACGAAACTAACTGTCTACAGTGATCTATGAAGGATGGTCTTGCATTCAAGGCAGTAGTATGTAGCTTTTAGTTACGCTAATACGAACTGTATTTACTACATTTAACATCTAGGGCTTCATCACCATTTTGATCTTCATCATCAGGTGGGACTGTAACCAAGAACTCGCTTCTAATAAGTTTTTAGTTGCTTCTCTACCCTTAGCTATCACCACACTTGAAAAAAACGTTACCTCCACACTAGGATTTTCTCCTGTATCGTGGTGGCAGTTTACATACATCATTTCACAAGGACAAACATCCAGAACAATTACTTGTAGGCCATAAAAGTTATTGTTCCGTGCGGGATTCGAATCCGCGGCCCTGAACTCATTGCTAAGCCACTACGCTACGGAGCCGTCAAAACCATACCAAAAGTTAGATAGCAGATAATGCCATTTTTAAGTGCAATAATAGAGTTTTCTATACATACATCTATGCATTCGTCAGGAATTCGACGAGAGCAACGAATGGAGTGGTAAGCCGATACCTGGCTGGTTGTATCGGTCGCTTTGTCCTGGCATCGTTCTACTAGCCCTACACGACCGAGCGCCCCAGCTTAAAATATCTGAAGACCGGCTCGCTGTAACAGGCGAAAAGGGATACTGCATGGTGCGAGCTACCCATGGTAAGTGTGAGATTCATTTATTTCAAGAGGCCATCACTGAAGACACGGCAACCGTGAAATTGTCCTTTAAGTAAATGACGTCATAGTGTAATCAGAAACATTTTATTAATATGCTAAGTGTACTCCGCGACTTCGCCCGCGTGTAATATAAGTACGTATGTAATGTGTACTACATTGCTTAAATGTTGAAATACCAAATTTTTCTCTTATCACATAGTTTCTCATTATCATTGGTGATTCTATTTCTTAATGACAACATTTCTACAGTATTACCACGTCAAATTTTCCTTACCATACATTAAGGCAGGGACGAACACAGCATTGTAAATTACCATACTCGCCTTTTTTAAAACATTCTGTCTTCTGACAATAGAGTAAAGATCCACAATTACTCTTTGTCCTACATTCACTCTTCGTTCTATATACGTACAATTTCTACCATTTCTGCTAAGCACACGTTCTAAATATAAAATACAAACTCACCCGCTTGCCGTTCCCCTTCTATTCTTATTCCCACATACTTTCTTCTCTATCAAAATTCATCACTGTCACGTCTTACTTGCGTTCACTATTCTTCGCAATTTTTTAAAGATACTTTCATCAACGTAACTATCATTTGCAACTCGTCCAACGACGACGCAAATTTGACTTTTCATCGCGTACATGTAGCATTTGACGGCTTACTCACAAATTCTCAACCCATAAACTTCGACTTCGACACAGCCCTGTCTAACAACTTTATGTCAAGTCCGTACAAAAGTCCCTACAAAGAGTTACAGAGAGACATCGCTCAACCCAAACGAGGCCAGTGTTAGTCATAAGGCATCCCCGTCCACTTTGTAATATACCATAAACACGGTAATCCTCGAATCCAGCAATGTGTTCTATCACCGGGAGAGCTACCATCTGTCCCAAGGAGGTGTCGGATTTATCGTCCACAAGTCTCTCGTTAACAACGTTGTGAAGATTGGCGTGTCGACGAGGGTTGCGTACCTTATACTCAGAATCACCAAACGGTATTTGCTGAAGGTCATTCAGGTTTATGCACACACCTCGGCACACCCCGATGAGGAGGTGGAGGAAATCTATGAGGATATTTAGCCATGCATTCCTCCAAAACCCACTATACGGTGTTAATGGGAGACTTCAACGCAAAACTAGGCACAAGAGAGAACAGTGAGCTGAAAATAGGGAATTTTGGAATAGGGCAATGGAACCCAAGGGGCCAGCAACTGGTCGACTTCATGGAGAAAGAGGGACTCTTTCTCCATGAACCCAAGGGACCAGCTGCTGGATTCATGCTCTAATCCAAAGTCCCGAAACCTTTCAGCTCGAGCTACGAAACGGTTTTCAGGGCCTAGAAGATTGCAATGCAGTGGACGATATGAATGACAAGCTCGTGGAAACTGTCCATGCGGTCGGAGCTTTCCGATCACACTCTTAATCTCATGGCTGTTAGACGGGATATGAAGCTGCAGTCTTCAGTAGATTTGACAGCATACAGGCAACTGAACAGACAGATCTCCAAACGCATGCGGCGGGACTTACGCAACTTAATAATGCTCGTATTAAAGAAGCGATCGAGCGGAACCAGGGCTCCAAAGTCTTTGCTAGAGATCTGTCTGCCAGAAAGAGCCAACTGTTGAAGCTGAAGACCGAGTGTGGCAGCGTCGTTTCCGGGACACCTGAGATTTTGAGTGAGATTGAGAGGTTCTATGGGCAGCTGTACACATCATCGTTGGAGCCACACGTAAGTATATGAGTAACGATCCAAGAGCGAGTGTTATCTGACACTATTCCGATGAAATCCCGGACGTCAGTCTGAGCGAGATTAGAAGGGCTCTCCAGCACCTTAAAAACGGCAAGGCTCCAGGCGAGGATGGAATTACAGCGGAGCTTCTGAAAGCGGGTGGAAAACCGGTACTTAAAGTCCTTCAGAAGCTCTTTAATTCCGTCCTCCATGGTGACACTATACCGGAGGCGTGGAGCAGAACGGTGGTCTTATTCTTCAATAAAGGTGACAACGCTCTCTTGAAGAACTACAGACCGATTTCCATTCGGAGCCACGTCTACGTGCTGTTTTCGTGAGTCATTACGAATCGTCTCGCGCGCAGACTTTACGACTTCCAGCCTTTCGAACAAGCCGGTTTCCGAAAAGGCTTTAGCACCATAGACCACGTACATACCTGAATGACATGGAGTATAATTAATAGCGAAACTGGTAAGATCAACTCTCGCAATTCAAATTACCATTTAAGTGTTAACAACAAATTAATTGTATCAGATCAGGACGTAGCAATGGTTTTTGAGAAATATTTTACTGATATTCCGATCTTGACCACTAAGTCACTGAATTCTTCTCCTGCCGTCGCCAAATCATTAAGAAACAAAATGTAAATGTGTGTACCAAGAATTTTACATTTCATAAAGTGTCATCAAAAGATATTGTAAAATATTTTAAAACTATTGATGTTAAGAAAACTGCGGATCTGTGGGGGATTTCCGTTAAAGTTATTGCGTCTATAATAGATACAATCGCGCCTCATTTAGCTATTATTTTTAATACTAGTATCGAATCTGGTGTGTTTCCTGATTTAATGAAGCATAGTAAAGTAATACCTTTATTTAAATCTGGTAGTACATTAGACCCCGCCAATTTTAGACCTATTTCTGTACTACCAACACTTAGTAAGATTTTTGAAAAAATTGTTCTTGATCAAATGTTAAATTTTTTTAATATAAATAATTTACTTCATAAAAATCAATTTGGTTTCACAAGGGGTCGCTCGACAACTGATGCCGGTGTTGAGCTGATTAAATATATCTTTAATGCATGGGAGAATTCACAGGATGCTTTGGGTATATTTTGTGACCTATCCAAGGCCTTCGATTGTGTTCACCATAAAACATTAATCAGGAAACTTCAACACTACGGTGTAAGAAGTGATGCTCTTAAATTAATTATTTCATATTTAAGTAAGAGAACGCAAAAAGTTGTCATTAACAATATGAGCTCTTCCGGATCGATGGTACAAATGGGCGTGCCTCAAGGCTCAATTCTCGGCCCCTTTCTGTTTCTTGTATACATTAATGACTTACCTTACATAGTAGGGGATAACCATGATATAGTATTATTTGCAGATGAAAATTCTTTAATTTTCAAATTAAGTCGACAATTACTAAAATATGACGAAGTAAATAATGCTATATCTAAATTAGTAAATTGGTTCGATGTTAATAATTTGCATTTAAATGGCACTAAAACAAAATGTATGAAATTCGTGACTCCAAATGTCAATACTAATGTTATTTTAAATGGGGAGAAACTGAGTCTTGTAGATACCACCATTTTTCTTGGAATCACACTAGACGCGAAGCTTCAATGGAGCCTCCATATATCAAAACTAGCAAGCAGACTTAGTTCTGCAGCATATGCTGTAAAAAAGATTAGAAGTCTAACCAGTGTTAAAACAGCTAGACTAGTTTACTTTAGCTATTTCCATAGCATAATGTCGTATGGTATTTTGCTATGGGGACACGCAGCTGACATTGAAATTATATTTGTTTTACAGAAGAGGGCCATAAGAGCAATTTATGATTTAAAGCCTAAAGAGTCGCTGCGGCAAAAATTTAAGGAAATTAATATATTAACTTTGGCCTCTCAATACATTTATGAAAATGTAATGTACGTACACAAAAATAAAAGTAGTTTTACAAAAATAAGTGATATTCATTCTGTAAATACTAGGAACAGACACAAGCTAGTAGTACCAGTTACTCGACTCCATCGAGTCAGTAATTCATTCTTGGGGCGATGTATACGCTTTTACAACAAAATTCCAGAAAATATACAAAGTTTGGCCAGTTCAAAGTTCAAAAACTTTATTAAACTAAGTTTGTATAAAAAGGGTTATTATAATATTAAGGAATTTATGGATGATAATAACCCCTGGAAATGAGGTGATCGCTACCAAGCTATTTCTAATTTGTTGTGTTGTTAATTTGTGTAACATCATGATTGTAAGCTGTTATTTAAAAAAAAGTCCCGCTGGGTTTCTTGCTGGTTCTTCCCAGGACAGAGGTTTTTTCCGAACCAGTGGTAATCAAACAAAAGAGTGACTTTCAATAAGTATTATTTATAATCTATATTGAATAAAAAAGTTTCTGTTTCTGTTTCTGTTACCCTTCGGCAAATTGTACAGAAGTTCGAGGAGTACAATTTGCCACTGTCTGGCGTATGTGGACTATAAGAAAGCCATTGATTCCGTCGAAATTTGGGTGGTGCTGAAGTCCCTTCAGCGATGCCAAGTTGACTGTCGGTATATCGAAGTGCTGAAGTGCTTGTACAGTACGGCTACGATGGCTATCCGAGTACAGAACCAGAGTACGAAACCTATCCAATGGCAGAAGAGAGGTGTAAAACAGGGTGACGTTATTACCCGAAAGTCTTCACCGCTGCATTGGAAGACGTTTTCAAGCTTCTGGATTGGAAAGGATACGGTATTAACATCAATGGCGAGTACATCACTCACCTTCGATTTGCCGACGATATAGTCCTTATGGCAGAATCGCTGGAGGACCTAAGCACTATGCTCAATGACCTCAATAGTGTTTCCCAACGGATAGGTCTTAAGGCCTTAACAGTGGTTGAAATGCCTAAATCTAGGATATTTAAGTAAAAAAATCTCAATAACTGTTCAGTTAATCCACAAAGAAAAAATACAGGGTAACAGAAGAAGATTTGGTAAATGTTTTTAATTTAACAAAATCGTATTTTTGTCAACCCCTTATTAGAAAAAAAATCCCCAAAGAGTACCTATCTTTGTCATATTTTGCAAAATTTCTCCAAAACGGCACAAGCTTTTTAAATAGTTCTTACACTAAAAAAAACGTCTTAAAAATATTAATATTTTTAATTGAGAGTTTTATTTTTATTACCCGTTTTTTAAAAGAATATATCATTTTTCCCTGAAATTGAATATATTTACGCGAGCGCGCAT